GGGGGGGGGGGGGGGGCACTTCGTAGCTGCCCAGGCATAGTTCGAAGGTCTTGAACAAACTTTATACGTGACTTAAGGCTCAGTGTTGCGGTGCTTAAAGCAGGGCTTGTGGGGATGAACCGCAAGCGTGCAAGCCGCTGACATGTTGATTGCACCAAGACTCTGGATCGAACTGGGCGGCCCAGACCATCCCCCGGCCTAAACTCAGATAAAGGCATGGAAACTTGTGTAAACACACCTATAAACCCAAGAGAGAGGTGATGCTCTACAACTTCCAGGATGGACGCGCCACCTGGCTTCAGCAGACTTTCTCTGATTTGGGGCTGTCTGGGGCTTTTTGGATTCAGCATGATTCAGCGGTTTTTGTTGTGGGATCTTGGGCCAATCTTCGGTCTCTCTGGGCTGGAAAGGCGTACCTCGCTGTAGGAGCTTCAGATTCGCAGGGGTCGAGGGGGCAGGACGGGACCGGCCTAAACCCTAAACCCTAAACCCTAAACCCTAAACCCTAATCCTGAGCTCAAGGCTGAAATCTTGACCGCCTTCTCTGACGAGAGTGTCCGAGGCCTCTTTGGAAGAAAGGGGGGTTGTTTGTTTCGGGCCGCTTGGAATGCGGAGTTCATTGAATTCGGAAGAGCCTGCGCCAGGTTGGTGCAGGAGCTGATTCTTTTGTCGTGAGCGATGGTGCTTCTAAGCTGCTGTGTGTTGCCTGGTATGTTTTTTGACAGGCGTGACTGTGGCTTTTCAAGGTTAACGATGGCCAGCGCAAGCTTGGTTTAGCACCCTTGGCCACTGAGACCTACTCCTCCTCGGTTGGGATGATGTGTATGGATGTGTGGCAGGTCTCTACATGGACAACGAAGTGGCCTTCGCAACCCTCATGGACGTTTGCAAAGGCCAGGCTTCTCAAACCATCGTCATAATTTGGAGTTGCGGGATGGTGAGAAGGCTGGAAAAACCTGCAGTGCTTCTTGGTCTCTGACGCCCCACACCAGCAGAAACGAACCCATGTCAATCTGGAGATGCCGTTCCTGCATCTTCAGCAGGCATCGAAGCAGCCCAGATATGTCCAGCAGAATCTCGCAAACGTTGCACTGCGATCCTTCGCATGGGGTTCATACCCGAAAGGGCTTGCAGTGGCTAGCCTGCTAGCCGAGAACCTACACGTTACAGTTAGACAAAAAAGACGAAACTCTTGCGGAGCTGAGCTTCATGATCCCGATTGTGTGGTCAGCAGCACCCTGTAGGCTTTCAAAAGCGGAACTTGCGATGTCCACAACCCGTAGATGCAGCCAGGCTGGAATATGGAGCCGCCTCATCAGCAAAGCGTCTCCGTGAACTTTCGCAGTTGGGAGCCTGGGAGGCATAAGCCCGGAACCCTATTCGGATCGCCTGAAATTTCAGCGCATTCCTCTCTTCGCCCACTTCTCTTCGTCCCTGAAGCCCTGGCTTAGGGCGCCTCGCAGGTTCAAACTTGTATATGGTTATTTTTAAGTGCGTAGGTTGGAAGGGGGGGGATGGTGTCGGGGTCTCTTCTGTTCATTTCAGGTGTTCGGCCAAGCACACTGTTGCTACCCTGACACCCCAGTCTCCTCACCTTGGCAGCTATCCATGTCAAGACCCCTTAGTTTTCGCTCTCGGGCCCTAGCCAATCATCCAGCCTGCGGTCCCGAGGATCGGAAGAATGCGCAGAATGCACCTTGGCTGACAAAGCGTTGCCAGCGCATGTGTGGCCACATGTCCATCCTGTCATTCTCCCCTGTGGAGAGAACTTTGCGTAGTAGCTACGACTGTGCAACATCAAGTCTAGAACCAAAAACGTGCTGCAATTGGGAAACCGAAGTTGATCAAGTCGCGCATGACGCTGCTTCTGCCGAAGAACGAAGTTGCCCGAGCCTCCGCAACTAGAACTTGAATCACCAAGATCTTGAGGCTTGAGTTACCAGCCTACAGGGCCTACACTAGTTTCAAGGCATGTAAAGACATCCAGAGACTTTATATGCGCAGATAAGCACTAAGGCGCACATTCAAAACTGAAGCAATGCAGCCTTGGAGCCAGCTCCTGGCGGGCGGTTCAATTCTTGTCACGGACCGATGCTACAAGTCACTCGGGCTCAGGTGAAACACATTCTTCAGCGTGGTCCTTGGGCCTGTGCAGCTCGGCAAGTTAGTGGTTAGGGTCTGCCAGCTTGCCAAGACCAAGCACCCACAGGGATCATTTAAGAAGTAAAGTTTGAAAAAGCAACATAGACTACACCAACACAACCAGAGCTGTGCTTCATTCCAGTTGACAAAATCGCATTGCAATACTATTGCAATCCAAAGTAGAAACGGTGCTCAGAAATCACACCGCGCAACAGCTTTTATCTGTGTTTGGGACGTATATTGCCTAGCCTACTATTGAGTCATGGCCAGGCTTGGTTCACTGCTGTGTGAACCGTGATTTGCATTGGTATGTTCCTTCACATCTGAGCCTAACCAGTTGTTCTTCTCAATGGTTTGCCAGACAGCTTTGCTTATCAAGCTGTGTAATGTGATAGACACGCCAAGAGCAAGTGCGGAGATGTGTTGTTCGGTCTGGATTGACAGCATTCTTAGTGGCAAGCAGCAGGTGTAACAAAGCTTACATTCAACAAACTTGTAGAAGCAAAACGAGAAGACCTAGCAGCATTCACGTGGGGTTCCTCCACGGAATTACATTGAACTGTTGACAGTCCCCCTTTCTAATCGTCTGAATGTTTTTTTGCTTGGCTGTCTGATCCTGGGATCAGGTTTTGGATCGGTCTGACCTTAGCCTTTCAAAGCTGGGTCTCTCTTGGGGGGAGCTAACTTCTGGAAGGATGCGCTTTGCCAGGTAGTGTTTCCGATGTCCTCCACCGTGATGCACATCCCTAGACAGGACCATGCACATGGGAACCTGCTGAAGATTCTCAGGGTAAGGTGTTCCCGCCAGTGTCAGCGCCCAATGCTGTTCGCCGTTGCTTCTGGTTTGGCCCTCATGTCGAGGGGTCTTGCATTACGAAAGTCTCACGCATGATTTGGAGCACATACATGTGCCCTAAACCCTACACCCTAAACCCCAAAGCCCCAAACCACAAACCCCAAACCGCAAACCCTAAGCCCCAAACCCCAAACCCCAAACCCCAAACCCCAAACCCCAAACCCTAAACCCTAAACAGTTTGTTACGCCAGGAGCACCACCAGAGATCGCTAAGATTGTTTGACTACGGCGGCACAGCGGCAGAGGTTGCTCCGTGCCACAGGGCAGCAGGAAGACGGTGGTGCAAGCTTTTTGGGGTTCAGAGGGTTTAGGGTTCAGGGTTTAGGGTTTAGGGTTTAGGGCTATTATTCTGCGGCCTTTACCGGCTTCAGGGTTAGGTTAGGCGACTTCTGGTGGTTCGGAGGGCATGTTTCTGTTCCGTATCGGGTCCTTGCCATCGGCAACCTTTGCAGAATCTACGCCGCTGAACATCTCAAACCATCTTAATTTCAGCTCACTTCGGGCACTGAAATGCGGGGTTTGCGATAATGAGCGGGGGCCCCCAATATAGACCCCCAAATAATCGGATCCCTTATAAAAAGGACCCCAATAAGGTACCCCCAATATTCTAACACCCCCAAAATTTGGGTTTAATAGGTCAACCCTCAGAGCCAGCAACATTCCTGGATGTCTGCTCCCAAGCCTCGATTTAGGGTTTAGGGTTTAGGGTTTAGGGTTTAGGGTTCAACATCTCGGCCATGGAACGTAAACTCGGCCTGTCTGCAGCCATTTGTGGCTTACTGGCAGACATCTTGTAGACACATGTCAGCTACTTGGCTGCGCTGAGAATCAGTTCGGCGAGTTTCTCAAGTTTGCTGTAAGGGTGCGGCCGGTGTCGATCGCAACTAGGAAGCTGGAAAACTGAACCCAGTCCACGCGGTCCAAATTCTTAATCATTGCCGTAGAGCCAGATCCTAAACCCTAAACCCTAAACCCTAAACCCTAAACCCTAAACCCTAAACCCGAAACCCAGTCATGAGTGCGGCTAGGCACTTGGGTTGCCCAAACCAGCAAGGCTTAGTCAGCGTATTGGTACCAGGATTTGCGCATGCTAAGGCTTTGTTCCAGCACAGGTAGTAGGACAATAGGGCTGCAGATCGTGATGGCTTGACAGCCCCCCGAGCCGAAATGATCCGAAATGTGCATCGTGCATCTTGACTCTGCTCTGTCTTGCGTTGAGTCGTGTACCATGGCAAACATGGCAACAACCTCGGAAGCATTTTCCGCAATTTGCTCAACTGACCCACCACTCTTTCATCAACCTGCCACCGGCAAAGCAGAGTGATTCTCCAGCCATCGACCACATGATCATTCGACGAGGTTTGCCTTGCATCATTCTCTTTGTGTGTTTCGCGGCTTTGAGCTTTCAGGTATCCCTATGGCATGGCGAGTCCTGCAAAATTATCTGGGATATGTGCAAACTGCTATATGTTCCACCAGCTACGCCGAGGCTTCCAAGCCGGAATGTCTCAGCTATCGGGTCGTCTACCTGTTCAGGCCAGGAGTCGTCCGGATAGCACGGGATAGTGGGGCTTCGCCGTTCTGGAGCAGATGTAGGGGTCTTTGCAAAATTTCCTGGCGCATTACAGCATATCATGCACTCGTCCCACGTGGATCAAATCTCAGCCAGATCATTTGGGGGCAACCTTTGTTTAAAATGCGTTTTGCTCTTGTTGAAAGGAACTCTTTACAGGGTTGACGACTAGAAGAGGCCTGCCAAATAGTTGGACATCTTGTTGGGAATGGATCGAAGTCTCAAACTTGTTCTTGTTTGCTTGTTAGTTCGCACCACGGCTCGCAGCACTGGGATGCAGGGAGCAACATAACGTCCTTTTCCCAAAGACGTGTCCGAGCTTACTCGCTGCATGCGGATGTCCTCTACACCCAGGCCATCCTAGGTAACTCGTATTCAGAGTGAGATCTCTGTAGCTCAGCATTGCCTTGACCTCGTGGAGTAGCTGCCATGGGCTGTGGAGCGAGCAGCACGGGAGCCCTTGCACCAAAAGATGCATGGTCCCGTCGGGCCCCTCCAGTGCCCCTTCGTTGGCCGAGGAAGCGAAGCGCAAAAGTCTGCAGCCTGGATGCGACAGGGGTCCTGCCCAAGAAGACCGCATTTACCCACGAGACGCAGGAGCCCCCAGATATGGGCAAAGATGTGCTCAACGCCATCCTGGACAACGCAGAAGAATCGCAGGAGCGGCTGGACGTGGAGGAGGTCGAGCTCGAGGCTCGGTGTTGGTGTTCCATGAACTCCGAGGATGTCGCCGCAAGCCGCCAGTACAAGCGGCCTTCCCCGCCCGATCGACTTACGCATGAATGGCACCTGCGGCGGATTGACCGGCTGCAGCAAGACATCGTCGTGGACCCAGACCTGTTCGAGACTGCTGTTCGGATCAGGCGCGTCAAGTCCTTCATTCCAGACATGCAGGCAGAAGCCGACATGATGCCTCCGCCGCCCCCCTTGCCACGCCGCACGACACCGAGAGCAAGGCATTTTGAGGACGTAGGAAGATGAGCAGGAGACTCAGCTTTTTGCTTTGTAAACGAGCTCGTGTTGCTGAGTCTCCAGCCACGTGCAGAATGGGTATAGAGTGTATAGCACGATCTTGTAGATTCCACGACCTTGAGATTCGAGCATCTAGGCCTCGAGATCTGCTGGTGCAGCTTTCATGATCAGGTATGTTGGCACCCCACATGGGTCATCCAGATGTATGAGCCAATAGGAGCCTAGATTGCAGATCTTTGAATATACGTGGCCTCAGCCTGGTGATGCGCGAACCTCTAGTCATTATGTTTCAGCAGCATCAATTCGGCGGGCTTGCGCGGCCCGGAGGACTAACTCCGGGAGATCACGAGGGCGTCGGACCAGTCATCAAGCTGCTTTGTGCTGTGTGGTTGAGCTGACTCTGTAATCACTCAGACTTGGTACTGGCCCTTGCAGAGTTCGAGGTCTGAAAGGTTGTTGAGGCTGGCATGATCAGAGAAGCCCCGCATGCACAAGACAGATTCGCCTGATTCCCTTTCCGCTGACTCCCGGTGCCATCCGAAGCCAGATCCAAGCACGCATGAGATTTTTGCCTTATCTTCGCTGCGCTTGTCTCAGTGCCGCTGTCTTGTTTTCCCCCGGATCAGCTGGCACGGGGCAAGACTTGGCCCATTCATCGCCAGAGGCTACCAGAGGGTGCCGAGCGATTTATGTCGTCTGTCGCAGTTTTCGCGGTGAACTGAAGATTTCGAGGGGAACAGTGTGATTGACTGGGCCGGAGGCCGGTTGACCGCATCCCTTGGTTTTGTTTTTGGCGGGTTGAGCCCGCTACTCATTGCTACGCGCTCCCTGCTTCGCACCTTAGTGCTTACGAACCTTTCGCACACTGCACTATCCGGCCATGTTCTCTCACATAGCCAGCATGTGCTAGCATGCTAGGGAAGATGTCTAACCCCTCCTGAGGCGGTAGCAGAATGAAGCAAGTCTTATGAACGTCTTGCTTCAGCTTTCCTTCCGATGACTGAATCTGATGTTGACAGCAGTTGCTGGGCTTGAGAAAGGGTTCCCTGGTGCGGTGGGAGGGTGGGGTGGCTTAAAGTCTTAACGTGACGCACTATGGCTACCACAGGGATGTGCTAGATCACTTGTTGCTGATTCGGAAATCCTGGCCTGGGTTCAAGTCGAGCACTAGATCCACAGGAATCTCACATGGGTACACGTACAAGATGACCGATTTACGTAGCGATAGCAACTTTGGCGTATCGCGCGATGGAGGTAGACTGAGTGCTTGTGGTGTTTTGCGTGATCGTGCGTTTGATTGTTCCATTCCGTACTGCGGTTGCACATGCTTGTGCTTTGAACACTTGCTTGCTTGTATAATATAAATAAATAAATATATGTATATATATATATATATATATATATATATATCTGTGTGTGCGTGTGTAGGTGTGTCGTGGGTGTGTCTGTGTGTGTGTGTGGAGAAAGGGACCAACTGAGGAAATCACCCGTGCGCACGTTGAAGACGCAAGGCATGATTGTCAATGAAGGCTGTACGCCGAAGCACAACGGCCGGCAGGATAGTTGTCCATGTTCTGCCCCCCCCCCCCCTGTGCGCCACCACAACAAACCCCCCCAATCCCAAGCTTCGAAGCACCAAAGCTTCCCCTAAACACTCTCGATCCTCTGGTCCAGGCAGCTTGCACAAGCGCGTGGCCGTGCCCCGGAGAGGTGTTGTTAGGGCCTTTGACCGCCCGAAGCAAACCTGAAGACCCTCACCAAGCAATGCTCTCCGAGTGGCACCCTCTACGTTCGCTATCAGCCTGTGACCGGCTGTACAGCATGGGCCTTTGGATGTAGTAGTGACGTAGTGATGATGCCTTCACGTCTCTCGCCTTCGGCCACAGTGGCTGGGGCAGAAGAGTCTAGTCACACCAGCACCGGTCTGAAATTCGCGGGCCTTGGCAGGCCCTCAAATTCAACAGCAAGCAAAGCATGAGATGAATCCACCGTGGGATGATTGCGTCATCTCTGGGCCCACGGCTGACATTCTGGGAATTTCAAGCGGCCGTGAGGATGGTTAGTGACCAGGCCCTCCCGCGTACGCGGCGTTGGCTTATAATGCCAGAGTTTTTCTCTGCGGTCCACTTTCGGCATGCAATCCAAAGGAGCCTGGGACATGTGTGGCACATGGAAAAAGACAGCAGGTGAGCAGTCCGAGTATGAACATCTCGTTGGCAGCTGAAAAGCTTACGAACAAGGACGTAGCCAACCATCGCAACATACTGTACCCGGGGGCCGGGGGCTTTGGCGATCCTGCAGACTGCCCGCATGCTTTGGAAATCCCTATTCAGGACTGTGGGGCATAAGGGACGGCCTTCCCAGCCTGCGTGGCCCAATTTGTAAATCGTTTTGAGCTGTGCCAGTGCAATCTGGAACACAAGGTGATTTTGATGGCGAGTCACTGCTCCTGGCCACTCGGCAAGTAGTCCAACTTTTTGTCCTCAAACCGATGAGGGATGATTGGGTGAGGCTTCGTTTTGGGCATGTGGCCCCTTGGAGGAAGCTCGAAATTTTGAATTTAGGGCAGGTTGGAAAGCCAAGTAAGTTCACCCAGGTGAAAGCAGCATGCTTCCTCGTAGGTTATGTCCTGCATGAAGTTATGGGAATTCAATCATGTTCAATCCACAGGGAGGTTACTGCGGAGCTCGTTCGTGTCATGGTCAAGGTTTTGTTGTCTCACATGTTTCCCAAGCAATCAACAGCTCGTGAAGCGCTGAGGAACGCCGAAGTCAAGAAGAGACAATACCGCCAGAAAGTCAACGTCCAAAAAAGAGTTGAACTGGCAAGACAAGCCCAGGCAGTCGAAACAGGTCAGCACGGTCAACACCAACGATCAGACACGGACACAGTCACACAGTAGCCAGAACACGAGTTGCAAGAAGAGGCTGGAAGATGCTGGAAACAAAAGGCCACAGAAGCTAGGGACCGCTCTCTGTCTGTCTCTCTCCTCCTCCTTCTCCTCCTCCTCCTTCTTCCGTTCCCTTTCTTTCTCAGAGGTGGATCGCTCGGCCGGCGCCGGGCCTCCCATCTTTCGCGTCGTGCAACTGGAGAGCCGCTCGGGTTCTTCTTTGCGGGGAGGGCTTTCGGTAGCATTTTGTTTTGAGAAAAGCTGGGGGGGGCTTTTCAAGCAGTTAAGCAGATGCTCCCCGACAGTCTTCGAAGAGAGGAAGCGGAGCAGCGGCCACAGACAGAAACCGCACTTTTTGGCACCCTTTGCCACCTGTATAGTTCTAGTTCGTTTGATTTCGTTTCCAAAATTCTCACCAGTGCCAAGTGGTGCCCTGACTGCGACAGGAGGGTAGATATGTAGGAGGCTTGGTAGCCGCACGGTGCCCATCCACAAGATTTCTTAAGACTTGCCTCCCGGGATATAAAGCCCCCTTCTTCCCGAGAATAATGGCACTAGAGTGCCCTGCAATCCAAACTGCGCTGTCACGCGTGATCTGATTGAGTCTTCACGCGCCCGCCCCCCCAAGGAAACGAGCACTTTGAGAGCCCAGCTTGCAATGGTGGACTTCCCCCAACGCGAAGTGGCGTTGGTGGTTGGTATTCTGAAAGGTTATAGGGTCAGCAAGTTTTAGTCAAATTTTAGTCATTATGGGTCTGGTAGCATTTGATCGGAGTATGTCTTGCGTTTGATTTTTTAGTTCAGGGTCCTCGGCATGTCAGTCTCAAGACCCTAAACCCTACACCCTACAACCTGAACCCTAAACCCTACACCCTACAACCTGAACCCTAAACCCTAAACCCTATAAGGATCGAGGCAATGCCGAAAGCCAGCTTAGCATCCATCATACGCCTGCAACTCGGCGGCCTGATGCGGCCCCAAGAGGGTATCGCCGGGTTGATTGCTTGTGGGCTGTCAAGGGCGCATCATTCATTCCAGGGTTTAGGGTTTAGGGTTTAGGGTTTAGGGTTTAGGGTTTAGGGTTTAGGGTTTAGGGTTTAGGGTTTAGGGTTTAGTCATCATAAGTCTCCCAGGCAATGTTCAAAGCCTTGAGAATCCCAGAAAACAACTTCGGCACGGCTGTGAAGATTCCCGACATCTCCAAGATCTCAGACGCTGTACTGGTTGCACTCGGATGGGATCTAGACTGCAAACCCTCAGCCTTCCCATCCAAGCTGCATAAGTTGCCAACGGCTGCCAACCACCAAACCGTTGGACAATCTCTAGCCGCGCGTGCGAGGAAACCTCAAATCCTGAAGCGGGGGATTCGAGTCAGGTGGAGTGCTTCATACCTGGCTTACGCGGTTGATTCTTCTCTCCTGGTCTACGACTACAAAGAGAAGGACAGTTTGTACCAGCTCATAGATTGCCATCGATTCCATACAGGCCACAGTCCTGCATGGGTTACAATCGCATGTAAGGCTGCATGAGGACATTCCACTTGTATTCGGGTGATCACTGTTGGACGGTGTTGGCCGGTGCAGCATTTCCGGTCTTTGGAGTGTCCTCACGGTTCATAGGTGTCCAAGTATTGGCCTAGGCTTGCCTCTCAGGACAGTTGAGCAACGCTGCCTACATTCTAAGCTCAATGGCAAGACGCAAGTATCATGCTTGCGGCGCCCTTCGTGTGGCATCCCGGTTGTTTGTCTGACCACGAAACAGGCTCCTGCTTGTTACAATGGTTTTGGACTCGGCTTGCTGATCTTGGGCTTCAATCGTCGAAGGAACCTTAATTAGAATGGGAGTTTTCCAGAAGACAACCAAGCAGCCTGTGCAGAGTTTAAGAGGCCTGTCCGAGCCTTGCCAAACTTTACTTTTGGAGCAAGAAGGATTTCCTTTTTGCCAAAAGGCGGCAAACATTTTTGCACAAAGGAAACGTAGCTTCGAAGAGCAATCGCGAGGTCTAGGAGGTTTCTGTCCGCCAGCGTTCCCTTCTTCATCCTGACGTGTGAAGTGTCCCACTGGGCGAGTGATGAGGCCGCTAACACAGATTCTGAAACAGGCGGTCGCGGGAGCTGCC